CTGTTTCTTGGCTATGTACAGCTCTGTGGGCATTTATCTTGGGTGGCAGAGAGGGCAGGATTTAACTGTGGCCTCCCTTGCCTTATCTGAGTCCAGGTAGGGTATATACCAAGATACCTTCACCTTCTTTCCAAACAAGCATTTAAGTTGTTGGCCAGTCCTTGTAGGAGCTTTCAGAATGGCGTGGCCTTGTCAGCTGTCTTTGGTTTGTGTATGAAACACATTTTAATTTCTTCCTTTTCACTTTTGCAAGGACCTACCTGCTACACTATAGTGTTGGTGGCCAGGCGCTAGGACATATTGGTGAGAACCCTCTTTACCTACAAACAGAAGACTGATATCAGGCCCCTAGGGCATGCTGAGCTGTAGATTACTGTGGCAGTTCCATATAGTTTGGCCAAAGCCTAGGCATAGCACCTATCCTTCATGGGTGTTTTCCTGAGCTCCCTTGTGATGGCTTATGGTATCCAGTGACATTTTGCATCATACAAAATGGTGGATCTGGCTGCAGATGGGCTCCATTTCCCAGCAGCCCCTGCCCACATTGCTGTGGCTGGTTTCCATGGAGACCCCAGCAGTGGAGGGGCCATGGCAGTGGGGGGCCAGGGTTTCCCTGGAGACCAGCCCCAGCCACTCTGGCAGGGCATGTGGCTGGGCTGGGGCTGGGATTTTGCAGCTGTGACAGTGTGGTCCAGAGCCAGGGCAGAATTATGATCCACTGCCTGCGCTCCCCTGCCTGGGGCATGCAGGCCGCAGACTGTAGCTCTGCCCTGGCTCTGGACCACGCTGGCACTGCCCCAAGATCCCAGCCCTGGAGCAGCTCCCTGCTCAGCTGCATGCCCTGCCAGCGCTGTTGGGGCCAGTCTCCATGGAAACCCAGGCCCCCCACCGTCATGGCCCCACCACTGCTCGGATCTCCATGGAAACGGGCCACAGCAACGTGGGCAGGGGCTGCTTGGAAATGGAGCCCATGGTGGGCCTGATCCAGCCCGTGGGCCAAACTTTACCCAGCCCCTATAAAAGACAACTTCCCCTTTAATACAGAAGGCCAGACTATTACGGCACCCTCTTCATTACACAAGACTTCTGCTGTCAGGCATGGATTGCTATAGGAACGTAAGCTTTGCCATTCCCAGATCAAAATACTTCATCAAGCCCACTACCCTATTAGGCAGTGGCCAATGCATGCCAATTCAGAGAGAGACAACATTTGGTACTGTGCTTGGCTGATGATGCAGTGTTGTTCAAGGCTGTGGCAAGAGGAGCAAAAAACGAACTTTTTCCCTGACAGCAGAATTCTTCTTTGATAACAGCTGGTGCCATAAAAGCATGGGATGTGTTCACCAGCGTTTTTACATGGCTTACTAAAAAAAGCTGTTCATAAGATGATCCAGTCCACTTTTACAACCAGCTGTTTAATGATTTTTGCCTTCCTGTAGTGATAGATTCCACAGTGTTTCAAATGTTTTTCTTATTTGTTTGAAATGCAGCTCCTCATTGTCCTTGTTATCTTCTTTGAGTGACCCTGTGGTTAGATGAAGTGTAAACCTAATATTATTTTAGTCTTTTCATAATCTTCAGCAGCCCAGTTAAATCCCTGTGCTTCAAATTAAAAGCAAACTAATCCTAGTTCTTGCAATCTCTTTCTCCTGTTGAAGTCCCTTCATGCTTCCTTGCTGCCTTTAGAATATCCACTTAATCATTCCTCAGGTGTGATGGCACTGAGCATGTAGCTGCAGTGAACAAACAACATGCTATAGCTTATACCTTTTTGGCAGGTGTGTCACAAATTGGTCCTGCACCCTCCCCAAGTGCCACACTCATCCCCTTCCCCTACCCAGGCTGATGTTCTGCCCTCTGCTCCCAACCTGATCTGCTACTCTGCTTTCTGCTGACTTTTCTGTGCGTCCAACCCAATCTGCTCCTTTGCTTTCCGCTTTTCACCCTACCTGCTGCTGTGATGTCTGTCCCCTCCCCACTCTGTCACAGTCTACACACAGAGGCTGCCGGTGCCACTTGTGGCACCCATGACAGGGTTGGTCACCCCTGGTTTATACGATGCCACTACGATGGGTACTGTATTGTTTTCTAGCCATTCTGAATGCATCAAACATCTTGTTTGTCATATTTCCTGCAGGTCCATAGTGGGCAGGCTTTGGGAGAGGCAGCGTGGTGTGCAGGACATGCCTAGAAGGGGGAACGAGGAAGTCGGGGATTCTAATTCTGGCTCTGGCGCTGAAGTTGTCTGGATTAGGACCAGGTAAGATTTTGCAGAGGTGGTACACACGCATTGTTTCTGCTAAAGGCTTTGGGAACACATCTAGAAATTAACACATGTCCACAGCTGGCTGAACATTTTCAGTTACAATATTTTAATGGAAAAAAAATGGGGCTTTGTTGAAAATGCAATGGTTCAGGAAAAACTTGCTTTTGATAAAACAGAGTAAAATGTCTGAGTTTTTCCCATTTAAAAGGTTTTTTTGTTGAAACACTGAAGTTTCGCATTTATTATGTTGGAGGTTTCTGGCAAGAAAGGGCTAGGCGAACTTCTGAATTTATTATGAAGAAATAATAAAGAAACAAAAACATTCACATTTTTGGGAGGAGGAAGATGAACAATTTCCTGACCCGACTTTCTTTATCCTATCTTTCTCATATGTGTCAGTTAAGTGATACTTGCAACCTGAAGATTTGAAAGAGCTATATAATTACTTGCTACTTTTAAAGCTACTTCTGAAGGCTCTTAAGATTACTTCTTTAAGGGTTTTACAGAATCACAGAAGTCAGCACGTATGACCTGAAGGTATTCTTTGTCAGTTAACATGACTTTACACTTATCTACATGGAGAAGGAGGGGGAGATTGCTTCCAAAATGCTAGCAGAACCACATTTTCAAATACCGAATACCCACAGCTAGGGCCCCTGGGAGATGGAGCAGCCTGATGGCAGATAGAGTTTAGGGCTACGTTTTCCAAAGGCTTACTCTCCATAATCAGGGAAAGACTTTTTAAAACAGGTAAACATCTAGTATGCACCCAGGATCCCTGTCTTCTGTGAAAATCCGACCTTGATCCTGGGTGTTGAGCTCATTAGAAAACCTCTCTAGATTTCATCTCCCAGATGCCTCTCGATACATGGATTCTCTTGAGAATTGCACCATCTCTTTGAGTAGAGACCTCCTTTTATCACCCTTTTCCCTAGAGGCCTTAGAAATCAGGTCGATGTGTTTGTGTTGGGGTAGTGTCATGTTTGCCTTATTGCGAAAGCAGGATATGACATCACTCACGTATTACTTTTTCCCCCTTTCTGTTCCCTCGTTTACCTTGGTAACAAAACGACGTGTTGTCTGTAATGATTACCAGGCCTCCATGCAGCTATAGAAGAAAGATTGCCTGATTCTGAGGCCCTGCAAAAGAAACCAGTCTCCTCTTTAATGCCACTGCAGGTCATCAGGCTCCTTGTTCCTCCAGCTTTCCAGATCCAGCGCTGCCGTGCTCTGTCGCCGCATTGGATACTGTCTCTCTCTCTCTCCGCATTTTGACTCGGCTTGGCATAATAGCCAGGAAGTTGAGAGGGTATATTTTTAAAGTGTGCTCTGTCAACAGGGGGACATTTTCTTTTCTCCCACATAATTCAGGCTTTCAGGTGTTACCAGACACCATCTGACCTTACTTCTGAATATACTTTTCTGTCTTCCAAGCCCAACAGCTGTTGTTGCTGTGGACTTGTCTTATGGGTGGGTTAGTTTTGAAGTGAGACAGCTTGCATGACTAAGGCAAAAATACATTAGCTGCTGGATGGAGATGAATCCAGGATTTCCTTCTGTGGGAGAAGAGAAAATGTCCCCCTGTTGACAGACCTCACTTAAAAAATATACCCTCTCAACTTCCTAGCTATTATGCCAAGGCGAGTCAAAATGCGGGGAGGGAGAGACAGTATGCAAGGCGGCGACGGAGCGCGGCAGCGCTGGATCTGGAAACCTGGAGGAACAAGGAGCTTTATGACCTGCGGTGAAAGGGGGACTAAGGGCCTGTTGGACAAAAGGGTGCTATTCCTCAATACGGCATTGAAGACACCCAGTTGTCCACAGGACTCATTCAAACCAAGGGTGAGGAAAGGTAGTTGTTGCAAATGGAAGGGGTTGGGAACCGGGCGGTGTGGAGGCAGAGCCCTACCAGCATGTTTTCTGGCTCAAATGCCCCCTCCGCCCCCCCCATTCCTCCCCATCCACTTCCCCAGCCAGGCGGGGAAAGCCCAGGCACGGCTCCCTGCACCCCGACACAGCCCCCGGGGCCCGCGGGCCCCTTCCCCAGCTCCGCAGAGGAGCTGGTGCTGCGGGAGCAGCGGCCCCGGGGCGGGAGCAGAGGCTCCGGGCGCAGGATTTTCTCCCCCCCCGGCCCAGCCCTGCGCTGCGCTGCGCTGGTGCCCGCTGCCCTGCTCCGGGACGGCGCGGGGGGGCTCTGCCGGGGCAGTCCCCAGGGGGGCTCCGGGCCGGGGTGGAGCGGGCGCCGCGGATTGGCTGCG